TGGTTCTATGGTGTAACGGTTAGCACTCCACACTCTGAATCTGGCGATCTGGGTTCAAATCTCGGTAGAACCTATGTATACGTCTAGCTCCGATAGGAAGAAATGCTTGCAGCAGGCTTGAATTAAAGCAACTATACACTAGTCAGCCCATCAGAGGTTTGCCCTTACCCGAACACGAGAAGTTGTATAGCATCTGATGTTTAGCATATCGTGATTCGACTTCGAACGCAGAAACTCATTCGGACGTAGGAAAGTTTGAAAAAGTAATTCCATTTAGTTATAAACCATAAACGGAATTTCATGGTTTGGAAGTTGAATGCAGACAAGACGGCATCTTGAAGATGTTGTGATTGGCAAGGAAAACTAATCCGCGAGCACGTCAGTCCATGAATAGCAAATGGAGCCGAGCAGTGCGACCTTCATCGTCAATTTTGGGGCTCGGGAAGCTGCTCTAACCAGTCAATTACGTGAACTGTTAAGCCGGAACGTCCTCGATCATCTACGATCTGATTCAAGAGGTGTGCAAGATACCTGATCAGCAGTCGTTCAATCCGAGCTCCACAGCTTCGAGGCAAGGAGTCGTCGCTTTTCCCGGCCCTTCCATCCAATACCCACCTCCAATGGCCTGGCTCCAGGAGAGGCCACAGCGCTTTTTTTCAGCTGACTATCGGAAGCGGTCCAACACATCCGTTAGAGTCTGTTCATCTCCGTACCGAAATACGACCTGAACGTACCACCCGGGGAAGCATGACATCACAACACCCGGCCTAGCAGTGAGGGAGGCCTTACGTCGAAGCTCTTTGTGTAATGCCCATGATCCAGAAGCCGCAAGGCTATGGTCGATTCCTCACCCAGGCAGCCTTGCCGTTCCGAGAGGAAGTCAGCAGACCTCCTTCGCACTTGTCGCAGCACTTCATCAGGAGAGACTCCGGCACTCGAGCCTTCAGAAGTCATCCACAGTCGGGATGACATCTTCGTCTCGGAGTAATCCTTCTCCTGAAGTACTAATTCCACTACTCCTGCGGAGGCATCGGTGCTCACCGCCATCAATCGTTCTCGCTCCCACCTCCCAGACACGTCTTCTGGTTCGCGTGGCCGAGCCAACTCTTCCGAGCTCGTGCTGTGGACCAGCTCAGACGCCACCGGACGTTCGCTAGCTTCATCGCATGTTACGAGAGGAGCACTGCTGTAGACGAGTTCACTGGCCCCTAAGGGGATCTGCTCGAGTTTCACCTGATACCCTCGAGTGCTGGTGAGGCCTTCGGGTAAACTGGAGGGCCTGTTGCTCAGTGAGAGGCTTATCTCATTGAGGCAGAGCATCGTAGGTTGCGAATGCATACTCGCTATCTACCGAGCCAAAGCCGCGCACCACAATAGAAGGTACTCGCTACCGAATGTCCCAATTTGTTGGAGAAGGTACTCGCTACCAGTCGTCCCGATTGATTGGAGAGATCCGGTTGCGACGGGATAGCCGCTAACCGACTGAGGTAAACGACCAAGCTGAAAGAAGAGTTTAGCCCGGGGAGGACCGGAAACGGCAATATTTATGTACTTGTCTCCTGGTGCTAGCTCGCCCCCCGTCCCCCCATACAATGTTGAACGTTACCGCAGCCAGGCCTCCGCGAGATGCCATCGAAGGTGGTTCAACATTGGAAGGGGGGAGGAGTGTATGAAAAAGTTGCCGCTATGTGCCGAGGAGAACATCTAGTGCCAATAGGCCTCGAATCGCGCTACGCCACTCCGTAACGCGAAACGTGCGGAAGTAAACGCGCATGGAGTTACGGTCTAATACTGCGTCACTCGTCCTACCACAGGCGACAGATACAGTCAAACTTAGTTCGCGGCCAATGTTCATATTTTGGTGAAGTCTCCCGGCGTCAAATCGAGGGCACCTGGGTTCGATTGCTCTCTCGATTGGAGTGTCAGGCCCGTAGTCACCAGGATTTTGCCCAGAACTAGCATGAAGCAGTGGCACGGTTCCACAGGCATGACGAAAACATCATAAAGTATGCCCAGACCCAGGATCGAACTGAGGACCTCCAGATCTTCAGTCTGGCGCTCTCCCAACTGAGCTATCTGGGCTGAATCTCGGAGCGTACGGGCCGCATTGTGCGGAATGCGTCACGCCCGCGTGCCTCTGGATGTCCCATCCCAGCACGAACACAGCCAGGCCTGGGAGTCGGGGAATACTGAACAATTGATCACCAAATATAGAAAAGAATATTTAAATACTTCAACTGAAGGAGTTGATCAATTGATCAGCTCATTCGTTGTGGGCATATACCGCGGTCTCCGAGGGTCGTACTCGCGACCTCAGGAATACGAGCCCGGCTCGCTACCTACTGCGCCAAAGCCGCGCACCACAGCTGTAGGTACTCGCTACCAGTCGTCCCGATTGATTGGAGAGATCCGGTTGCAACGAGATAGCCGCTAGCTGATGAACGGTATATCGGAAGTATCTTGCCGTCAAGCGCGAAGCTAACTCGACAACAACGACTAAAGGTTAGGACTGGAGGAATGAGTCTTCCGGCGCGCAACTGATACCACTGGTTGAAGCTTCGAAGGCTGCCTCAGTTAGGGCAACAAGTCCATGGTCGATGCAGGGCTCGAACCTGCGACCCTCGCGTTATTAGCACGATGCTCTGACCGACTGAGCTAAACGACCAAGCTGAAAGAAGAGTATAGCCCGGGGATGGCCGGAAACGGCAATATTTATGTACTTGTCTCCTGGTGCTAGCTCGCCCCCCGTCCCCCCATACAATGTTGAACGTTATCGCAGCCAGGCCTCCGCGAGATGTCATCGAAGGTGGTTCAACATTGGAAGGGGGAGGGGTGTATGAAAAAGTTGCCGCTATGTGCCGAGGAGAACGTTTAGTGCCAATAGGCCTCGAATCGCGCTGCGCCACTCCGTAACGCGAAACGTGCGGAAGCCTTCCGCAGTAGCGTCCACCACCTTCCGCCGGAAGGTGGTGGACGCTACTCGACCATTGCATTGAAAGATGTCGAGCAACGGAGTGTGACTACCGTGGTTCTTAAAACTGATAAATTTTGAGTCTTGCCTCAAAGCTTTGTTGACGTTTCTCTGTCTTTCGCTGAGGAAGAAATCTCGCTCGCTCTCGGCATTTTACTAAGGAAGGTCTGAGTTTTTCTACGGAGGCTTTCCCTCATATGCATATCAAAGCGACTATACGCTAGTCAGTCCATCAGAAGTTTGCCCCTATCCGAACACAAGATGTCGTATAGCCTCCGATGTTCAGCATATCGAGATTCGACTTCGAACACAGAAACTCATCCGAATGTTGAAAGATTTGAATGAACGGAGTTCCATGGTTTGGAAGTTGATGCAGATGAGATGCTGTGATTGGCAAGGAAAACTGATCCGCAAGCATGTAGTCCATCAATGGCAAACGGAACCGAGCAGTGCGACCTTCATCGTCACTCCTGGGGCTCGGGAAGCTGCTCTAACCAGTCAATTACGTGAACTGTTAAGCCGGAACGCCCTCGATCATCTACGATCTGATTCAAGAGGTGTGCAAGATACCTGACCAGCAATCATTCTCCCCGAGCTCCACAGCTTCGAGGCAAGGGGTCGTCGCTTTTCCCGGCCTCTAGCCCAATACCCACCTCCGATGGCCTGGCTCTAGAAGCGTCCACAGCGCCCTTCTCTCAGTTGACTGGCGGAATCGGTCCAGCACATTCGTTAGAGTCTGTTCATCTCCATGTCGGAATATGACCTGATGCCACCACCCGGGGAAAGCATGGCATCACAACACCCGGCCGAGTAGGGAGGGAAGCCTTACATCGAAACTCTTTGTGTAATGGCCATCAGCCAGAAGCCGCAAGGCTATGGTAGATTTTTCATCCAGGCCCCCTTGCCGTTCCAAAAGGAAGTCAGCAGACCTCCTTCGCACTTGTCGCAGCACTTCATCAGGAGAAACTCGGCACTCGAGCCTTCAGAAGTCATCCACAGTCGGGATGACATCTTCGTCTCGGTGTAATCCTTCTCCTGAAGTACTGATTCCACTACTCCTGCGGAGGCATCGGTGCTCACCGCCATCAATCGTTCTCGCTCCCACCTCCCAGACACGTCTTCTGGTTCGCGTGGCCGAGCCAACTCTTCCGAGCTCGTGCTGTGGACCAGCTCAGACGCCACCGGACGTTCGCTAGCTTCATCGCATGTTACGAGAGGAGCACTGCTGTAGACGAGTTCACTGGCCCCTAAGGGGATCTGCTCGAGTTTCACCTGATACCCTCGAGTGTTGGTGAGGCCTTCGGGTAAACTGGAGGGCCTGTTGCTCAGTGAGAGGCTTATCTCATTGAGGCAGAGCATCGTAGGTTGCGGATGCATACTCGCTATCTACCGAGCCAAAGCCGCGCACCACAATAGAAGGTACTCGCTACCGAATGTCCCAATTTGTTGGAGAAGGTACTCGCTACCAGTCGTCCCGATTGATTGGAGAGATCCGGTTGCAACGGGATAGCCGCTAACCGACTGAGGTAAACGACCAAGCTGAAAGAAGAGTATAGCCCGGGGAGGACCGTAAACGGCAATATTTATGTACTTGTCTCCTGGTGCTAGCTCGCCCCCCGTCCCCCCATGCAATGTTGAACGTTATCGCAGCCAGGCCTCCGCGAGATGTCATCGAAGGTGGTTCAACATTGGAAGGGGGGAGGAGTGTATGAAAAAGTTGCCGCTATGTGCCGAGGAGAACATCTAGTGCCAATAGGCCTCGAATCGCGCTACGCCACTCCGTAACGCGAAACGTGCGGAAGTAAACGCGCATGGAGTTACGGTCTAATACTGCGTCACTCGTCCTACCACAGGCGACAGATACAGTCAAACTTAGTTCGCGGCCAATGTTCATATTTTGGTGAAGTCTCCCGGCGTCAAATCGAGGGCACCTGGGTTCGATTGCTCTCTCGATTGGAGTGTCAGGCCCGTAGTCACCAGGATTTTGCCCAGAACTAGCATGAAGCAGTGGCACGGTTCCACAGGCATGACGAAAACATCATAAAGTATGCCCAGACCCAGGATCGAACTGAGGACCTCCAGATCTTCAGTCTGGCGCTCTCCCAACTGAGCTATCTGGGCTGAATCTCGGAGCGTACGGGCCGCATTGTGCGGAATGCGTCACGCCGCGTGCCTCTGGATGTCCCATCCCAGCACGAACACAGCCAGGCCTGGGAGTCGGGGAATACTGAACAATTGATCACCAAATATAGAAAAGAATATTTAAATACTTCAACTGAAGGAGTTGATCAATTGATCAGCTCATTCGTTGTGGGCATATACCGCGGTCTCCGAGGGTCGTACTCGCGACCTCAGGAATACGAGCCCGGCTCGCTACCTACTGCGCCAAAGCCGCGCACCACAGCTGTAGGTACTCGCTACCAGTCGTCCCGATTGATTGGAGAGATCCGGTTGCAACGAGATAGCCGCTAGCTGATGAACGGTATATCGGAAGTATCTTGCCGTCAAGCGCGAAGCTAACTCGACAACAACGACTAAAGGTTAGGACTGGAGGAATGAGTCTTCCGGCGCGCAACTGATACCACTGGTTGAAGCTTCGAAGGCTGCCTCAGTTAGGGCAACAAGTCCATGGTCGATGCAGGGCTCGAACCTGCGACCCTCGCGTTATTAGCACGATGCTCTGACCGACTGAGCTAAACGACCAAGCTGAAAGAAGAGTATAGCCCGGGGATGGCCGGAAACGGCAATATTTATGTACTTGTCTCCTGGTGCTAGCTCGCCCCCCGTCCCCCCATACAATGTTGAACGTTATCGCAGCCAGGCCTCCGCGAGATGTCATCGAAGGTGGTTCAACATTGGAAGGGGGGAGGAGTGTATGAAAAAGTTGCCGCTATGTGCCGAGGAGAACATCTAGTGCCAATAGGCCTCGAATCGCGCTACGCCACTCCGTAACGCGAAACGTGCGGAAGTAAACGCGCATGGAGTTACGGTCTAATACTGCGTCACTCGTCCTACCACAGGCGACAGATACAGTCAAACTTAGTTCGCGGCCAATGTTCATATTTTGGTGAAGTCTCCCGGCGTCAAATCGAGGGCACCTGGGTTCGATTGCTCTCTCGATTGGAGTGTCAGGCCCGTAGTCACCAGGATTTTGCCCAGAACTAGCATGAAGCAGTGGCACGGTTCCACAGGCATGACGAAAACATCATAAAGTATGCCCAGACCCAGGATCGAACTGAGGACCTCCAGATCTTCAGTCTGGCGCTCTCCCAACTGAGCTATCTGGGCTGAATCTCGGAGCGTACGGGCCGCATTGTGCGGAATGCGTCACGCCGCGTGCCTCTGGATGTCCCATCCCAGCACGAACACAGCCAGGCCTGGGAGTCGGGGAATACTGAACAATTGATCACCAAATATAGAAAAGAATATTTAAATACTTCAACTGAAGGAGTTGATCAATTGATCAGCTCATTCGTTGTGGGCATATACCGCGGTCTCCGAGGGTCGTACTCGCGACCTCAGGAATACGAGCCCGGCTCGCTACCTACTGCGCCAAAGCCGCGCACCACAGCTGTAGGTACTCGCTACCAGTCGTCCCGATTGATTGGAGAGATCCGGTTGCAACGAGATAGCCGCTAGCTGATGAACGGTATATCGGAAGTATCTTGCCGTCAAGCGCGAAGCTAACTCGACAACAACGACTAAAGGTTAGGACTGGAGGAATGAGTCTTCCGGCGCGCAACTGATACCACTGGTTGAAGCTTCGAAGGCTGCCTCAGTTAGGGCAACAAGTCCATGGTCGATGCAGGGCTCGAACCTGCGACCCTCGCGTTATTAGCACGATGCTCTGACCGACTGAGCTAAACGACCAAGCTGAAAGAAGAGTATAGCCCGGGGATGGCCGGAAACGGCAATATTTATGTACTTGTCTCCTGGTGCTAGCTCGCCCCCCGTCCCCCCATACAATGTTGAACGTTATCGCAGCCAGGCCTCCGCGAGATGTCATCGAAGGTGGTTCAACATTGGAAGGGGGAGGGGTGTATGAAAAAGTTGCCGCTATGTGCCGAGGAGAACGTTTAGTGCCAATAGGCCTCGAATCGCGCTGCGCCACTCCGTAACGCGAAACGTGCGGAAGCCTTCCGCAGTAGCGTCCACCACCTTCCGCCGGAAGGTGGTGGACGCTACTCGACCATTGCATTGAAAGATGTCGAGCAACGGAGTGTGACTACCGTGGTTCTTAAAACTGATAAATTTTGAGTCTTGCCTCAAAGCTTTGTTGACGTTTCTCTGTCATACAGAGGTATCTTACTCATACAATTATACTGAGATGATGCCATGCTGCCTTTCTCTTGACTCGACTCCGATATTGTTTTGCTCTAGTTGTTT